ATTAATTATGAAGCTTTTGGCCTTGCTTGTTTCTTCCTGGCTAGCTCTGACTTAAGTAATTACCCCATAATTGTTAATCTATGTATTTCTCTTACCGGAGACGTTTCCGGGCTTCCTACCCCATGGCGTTACTTCTCGACTCTCCTGTGTTTCTCCTTCCCAGAGTCCTCCTGGACTCCTAGTCCCTCCTATCTTGGTTCCCTATTGGCTCAACAGTGCTTTATTGACATAAGACTTCCCCAACAGAGTTCTATAGAATAATCAACAACAGAGAAATGTACCTAGTGAAAAGGACCAGATTTTAAAGTGGATATCACACTATAGTGTTAATTGTTCTAATTCTGAGAAATAAATTGTGAGTGGTTGTTGTTTCCTTATATTTTTCTGTGACTTTTTTTATAATGAGTTTATTATCTTTCTAATCAGAAAAATAACATTGTAAAAGAAAACTCTCTAAACCACTTGTGGCCTGGTTAAATATAGCTATAAACTGTAATCACATTTTATCTTTCCCATTCAATAAAGTACATCTAGCAAGTTTTTTACTTGGCACCAATTCCTTGGACATTAACTAAAGAGAGCAGTTTATGGCAAAGAACAATACAACCCCCAGTCTTTCCAAATTTCATGTAAGTTTTCACAAGCTGTCCCTTTCCATATTTTGTTCAGAATTATGGAACTGTTCCTTGCTGTCATCTCTGGCAGGCTCGGAGGACAATGTGACAGCTGATGCCAGCATGATGTTCCTTGTGTGCCCACCGCATCCATCCCACTCAGCTCTGACAGGATGATGATCCTTCATCTTTCATTGCTGGCCCATGGTCCCCAGAGGCTCCTAGAGCTGTATTCAGGAATCACCTTCAAGGAACGTGTATCTGCCTGCCACAAAACGCAAATACCTGCTGGTGGTGCCCACTCGTGCTTTGCAATTCAAATCAGACTTCAGTTTGCAAGATCAATTTTGCTTTCCCACCTCATACTGCTGCAAAGACACGAACCACTTTTCCCCAAGCTGAGAACTGTCCCCAAAAAAACAAGTTCTCTATTAAACTAGGGCACTTCCTAACAGTATAGGCATTTTCCTAAATGTTGACAATGGACACCTCCCAAATGGTTGGGGCGCCCCAAAGCTAACAACAGAGAAATCTATAGGTTAGGAAGGATGAAAGGGAGGGTTGCTTAGCCCCAAAGTATAGTTAAGTTGGGTTTGCATGGTAGAATTCTGCAGTCCTAACACTTGAGAGGCTTAGGCAGTATGTGGGAAATCTGAATCTATCCTGTTTGATACCCTGTCACACACATGCATGCACACACACATGTACACATACACCACAACCTCACCAAAGAAGCACCAACAACAATAATCCACCCATAAACCCAAAACACAGAAACAAGGCACAAAAACCAAAACCACAGCTAAATAGAAACACTAAGTTCCGGCCGGGCGGTGGTGGTGCACGCCTTTAATCCCAGCACTCAGGATGCAGAGGCAGGCGGATCTTTGTGAGTTCGAGGCCAGGCTGGACCGACAGCCTCCAAAACAATACAGAGAAACCTTGTCTCGTAAAACCAAAAAAAAAAAAAAAAAAGAAGAAGAAGAACACTAAGTTCCAGTGCTCACAGCTATGATTCACAATAATCTATTATATATCTCATTAAAACTAGGAGTATCTGGAAGTCCTCAAACATAAAGTAATGGCACAGAGATGGAAATACATACATATATACAGTACACATGTACTAAAATAGTGTATCATGCTCTACCTATTTTTATACATTAATCAAAAGATATTTTTAACGTTTAAGGTAATGGAAATTGTATTGCTACAAATAATATACAAGTATCAAATCATCACACTGTACCACACAAATATGAGTGACTAAAAAATAATTGTTTGAAAAAGACAATACTGAAAAGTTAGCTATTTATCATCACAGGTGCCAGCAATTCTAAGCAATGCCTGTGATAAAAATATTCTGTCTCTTAAACTCTTTCTCTAGACTGCTTTCTAAACTGTGTGATTGTAGAGTGTAGTCTTCCTTGTCGGTTGCCTGGGCCCTGCTGCGCTGTCTGAACCCCCAAATAACACACAGGACACTATATTAATTATATAGCTCTTGGCCGTTTGCCTTGTTTCTTACTGGCTATCTCTGACTTAAGTATTTAACCCATAATTGTTAATCTAAGTATTCCTCTTACTGGAGAAAAGGGTCCGAACCTCTTACTCTAGCAGTCTACATTGTGTCCTAGCCCCACCTATCTCGCTTCCCTATTAGCCAACAGTGCTTTATTCAACAACCAATAAGAGAGACAGATTTACAGAATGACATCTCCCATCATGTGATAATTGCTTTTAAAAAAATTTATAATTCTTTATTTAGGTAACATTTTCTTTCACTTAATTTTACATACCAACTAGTTTCCCCTCCCTCCTCTCCTCCTGTACCCTCCCTTTTCCCATCTATCTCCCTCCCCATCCTCTCCTCCTCCCTCTCCATCAGAAAGGGGCAGGCCTCCCATGGGCTTGCACAAAGTATGGCACATCAAGTTGAGGCAGGACAGAGCTCCTTCCTTTACATTGGCCATCGGTCATCGAGGTGGGACCAAGTAATCCAGCATGGGAAGCAGGTTACCAAAAGTCAGCTAAGCACCAGGGAGAGGCCCTGCTCTCACGGTTAGAAGCCTTACTGATTGCTTTGAAGCTTGGTAATGTGCGTGTAAGCTGTCTATCAATACAGTTTGTCACTTGTCCTTCATGAACAGAAGTTCATATAAAGTGCTCCTTGTTATGTAAGCCCTGACACACACCTGCTCAACCTCTTCCATTTCATAACGATTCCTGATCCTGTGCATTAACAGGCATACTTCTTCATTCCAACCCTATACTTCTACACAAGTCTGCCTTTTCCCAGCATCCTGTGCTGCTGTACATATCTGCCTTTTCCCAGCATCCTGTGCTGCTGTACATATCTGCCTTTTCCCAGCATCCTGTGCTGCTGTACATGTCTGCCTTTTCCCAGCATCCTGTGCTGCTATACATGTCTGCCTTTTCCCAGCATCCTGTGCTGCTGTACATATCTGCCTTTTCCCAGCATCCTGTGCTGCTGTACATGTCTGCCTTTTCCCAGCATCCTGTGCTGCTGTACATGCCTGCCTTTTCCCAGCATCCTGTGCTGCTGTACATGTCTGCCTTTTCCCAGCATCCTGTGCTGCTGTACATGTCTGTCTTTTCCCAGCATCCTGTGCTGCTGTACATATCTGCCTTTTCCCAGCATCCTGTGCTGCTGTACATGTCTGCCTTTTCCCAGCATCCTGTGCTGCTATACATGTCTGCCTTTTCCCAGCATCCTGTGCTGCTGTACATGTCTGCCTTTTCCCAGCATCCTGTGCTGCTGTACATATCTGCCTTTTCCCAGCATCCTGTGGAGTAGGACTCAAAGGATGAGAGCAGGAAGTTCTGCAGGGAGAAACCAGACCCATACTATCCTGTTATTTTCTACTAGAAAAAAAACACTATCATTTTCTAAGCCCAATATGGAGAGGGGAGTAGGTGATGTTTGCACATATATGTATAAGAGAAATAGAAGAGATCTTCTGAGTAGACTCAGGGCAGGTAGGGATCAGATAAAGGAACGAATGGAGGAGGAGAGTAATGAAAGAGATGTCTTGATGGGGGCGCATTTTGGGGTTGGATTGAGACCTGGTGCATGGGAGACTCCTATGACTCTACAGGGATAACCCCAGACTCCTAGCAATGGTGAATGGGTAGCCTGGCCATCTACTGCGGTCAAATTGGTGGCTGCCCCACTTGTCATCAGAGAGTTTTCTTCCAGTAACTGACAGAAACAGATGGAGAAATCCACAGCCAAGCACTGAGGAATCCTTTTGAGGAGAGGGAAGGAGGATTGTATAATCCAGGGGGTTATCACAAGGAAACCCACAACTAACCTGGATTCATAGGAGCTCACAGACTCTGGACCGACAGCTAGGGAGCCCACATATGATATAGGCCTTCTGCATATGTGCCAATTGTGCAGCTTGGTCTACTTGTGGGACTCCTGGCAACTGAAGCAAGGTCTGTTCCTAACACGGGTTTTAAGATCATAATAGGCAATGTGGGTTCTAAGGATTTCTTGAAGTGGAAGAAACATGGGAAGTGTTTCCTCTGCTGTGGCTCTACTGTTCCAGCATGATTTCTCTCTCTCTCTCTCTCTCTCTCTCTCTCTCTCTCTCTCTCTCTCTCTCTCTCTCTCTCTCTCTCTCTCTCTCTCTCTCTCTCGTCTCTCTCTGTCTCTCTCTCTCTCTGTCTCTCTCTCTCTCTCTCACACACACACACACACACACACACACACACACACACATGCACCTGGCTTAAAAAAGAACTGAATAGACAAGCAAACTGTCCAGAAAAGCGAATACCTCAGCCTTCCTGAAATTGTCCTGTGACTCTGACTCACCTCTAAGGACACTGTGTTAACCCCAGCCTCTTAGGAAGATATCCTTGTTCCCAGGCCTACAGGCTGAACTGCATGCTGGCTCTGCAGAGACCAGCCTATCTCCTAGGGTGCCCTGCTCTATGAAGACTTATACAAAACCCTCCTTGCCTTTGCCAAGGTACCAGCCCGACCTCTCTTCTATGCATGGGAGTTCCACAATGTGCCTTAAGAGATGTTGTGATGGCCAGGTGGTGGTGGAGAACATCTTCAATTCCATCACTTGGAAGGTAGAGGCAGGGGAATTTCTGTGAGTTTGAGGCCAGCCTGAAATACAGAGTGAGTTTCAGGACAGCCAAGGCTACACAGAGAAACTCTGTCTCAGAGGAAGGGTGTGTGTGATGAAAACCCCAGAGATAAATTCACTGTAGAAATGTCACTCTGGGAGATGGTAGTTCATAATCATTACAAAAAGTCCAGGGAGGGTGGCATATAGAGCATTAAAATGTCATGGTTCTAATCCATGGCACCAGGAAAAATAAGCTTCAAAAGCTGCAGTAGAAGTATGACTGTTGGGCTAGCCCTTGTATTTTATCTGTAATACCCAATGTCTACTACATCATAGGTGGGATCTATGCCCTGAGTTCTGTCATTTCTGCTGAGAGTGACTAAATAGAATCCTTCTTTAGTTGGCTTTCTGAGCTGTGATGGAACCAGGACTCTCCATCCTTTGTGTTTATCGGAAGCAGTCATTGACCCGACAGTGGGTACCCGCTCTTCCTCCAGTCTGTCTCCAACAGCCAGGCATAGTGTATTCCTCTTTCTGCTATGATGTTCACATTGATGACAAGGGAAAGACCTTAAATGGAAAGCCAGTTTCATGTAGGGCAGAGCAGGCTCCGGGAACATGCTGAAAAGTGAGCAAGCAGCAATGATTCGAGAATGACTTAGCAGGTAAGATGGCCCAGAATAGCAGGCAACAGACAGCTTTCTCTTTCCCAGAGTCCTCCTCAACTCCTAGTCCCACCTATCTTGCTTCCCTATTGGCCAGCAGTGCTTTATTCAACAACCAATAAGAACAGATTTCAGAATGACATCTCCCATCAGTGATGATATGGATATCCAACATGGGTCAAGAGGGATGGGGTGTGTGTGTGTTATGAGTCAGCAAAAAACGTCTGTCTCTCACCATTACTTTGAGTCAGGAAACTCAAATAGTGGAATGTGTTATGTACCCATTCCTGGCTGAGAACTACTTCTGTGTGGGCTTTGTATACATATGGTCTTGAGGTCAGAAGCCTTTGAGTCCTCGCCTTCCCCAATCAGGGCCTAACTAAACTACACGAAAACCTGAAAGAGCCTCCTAGACTTTGCTTTGTGGCACTTCCTCACACTTGGCTCTTTTTTTAATCTTAAATTTATTGGACTAGCACTGGCTTTGCTGCAGTTGACACCCTTGACACATGTGTCTCAGTAAATATCATGTATGTTGCTTTTCAGAGACTTGAAGATTTGCATCTCTTGAAGTCACTGACTGTTCACTGGGACCTGGACAGAAATCCAAAGGGCAACTTCTTTGGTGTGAGAAGTACCACCATTGTCTGATCCCATGACCTCTGGGGGCCCGGAAGACTGACTGCTAATTGCTTCCTATCTACTCCTTTCCCCAAGCCTCCCTCACCCAGCTTCAATGCATGGACAGCTCGGACTCCTTTCCTAGGGGAGGCATGCTGAATGCTTCCTCTTCTGTGCCCACACCTTGGCCACTTCATCAATGGACTCTTTCACAGAACTTGTTCCAGCAGCTGGCATGCTGAGCAGTGAGTAAAGTGGGTCTGGTTTGGTAATGGTAACACCATGACAAGTGAATAGCTTGTTCCAGCAGCTGGCATGCTGAGCAGTGAGTAAAGTGGGTCTGGTTTGGTAATGGTAACACCATGACAAGTGAATAGCTTGGATTGCTTCTGTTTCCTTGTCTTTGGCGTGTTTGCTTTTGCTTTTAAATTTAAATTCTAGATATGTATTGCCAGCAATGGCAGCTGTGAGATGCCTCCATTTCATAAACCAGATCATGGGTCACAGGTCTCCAGTGACCCAAAGATGGGAGAGAAGGTGGAATGTAAGAAGAGTAGTGGTTGGAGTCGTGGAAACCAGTGAACAAAGCAAGGTTCAGATACACACACAGGAGAATGGGGACAGGGGCAGAGCCTCCTGCAAAGTAGCCTTGAGATTAATTTTCTGATCACTGGGCACTCACTGTTCTTTCCGAGAACCAGAGTTCAGTTCATAGTACCCACAACATGTAAATTATGACTGCCTGTAACTTCTCTGGTCCCAGGGGATCCAATGCCCTCTTCAGGCCTCCATGAGCACCTGTACATGTGTGCATATGTAGTGTGTTTGCACACTCACACATACACAAACAAAAATAAATGGCCCATGTTACCACTGAAGGTCATGGGGATATCTGTGGTCTGTGCTGCCACCTGAAGCTATGTTGGGGTCCATGATCTTGCTGCAGCTGGAGGTCATGTTGATGTCTGTGGCCCCTGTTACCACTAAAGGTCAGACAGATGTCCATGGTGGTCTGTGCTGCTGTCAGAAGCCATGATGATGTCCATGACCTGTGATGCTGCCAAGGAGCATGATGGTGTCTGTGGTCCATGCTGCTGCTGTGGGCCATGTTGATGTGAGTGGCCTGAGCTGCCACCTGAATTCATGTTGGTGTCTGTGAGCCAGGCTGCCATCGGGGACCATGTTGGTGTGCATGGCCAGTGTTGCCCCAGAGGCCATGCTGATGTCCTTGGCCTGTGCAGCCATTAGGTTGATGTCCATGGCCTGTTCTGCAACAGAGGGCCCTGTTGAGGTTCATGGCACTGGCTGACACCAGAGATCTTGTGGAAGTCCATGATCGGTATTCCTTATGACTGTAAAGGCAAGGAAGCTACTTTTGCAGTGGTATCAATAACTGTGCAGTCACAGTTGAGGAAGAGGGACGTAGAAGGCCTTAGTGACAACCTCTGTACCCATTCCTCCACCCCCTAAAAGAGTAACAGTCTAGACAGCAAACCGTCAAAGAGAACTCTTAAAATTGTGATAAGGATGCTGAAGTGTAGCTCTCCACAGTTGGGGGCTTCTACAGGGGTGCAGGTGGAGAAGGACTCAGTTTTCTTTAAGGGGCTGGCTACTGGAAGTTTGGCCATGTTCCAGTGAATATATGAACAACACAAATTGGACTGGTAATTTTTTTCTTTCTTCTTATTCTTGTTGTTCTTCTCCCTTCTTCTTCTTCCTCCTGCTCCTCCTCCTCCTCCTTCCTCCTTCCGGCTTCTGCTTCTTCTTGGAGTGGGAGCTCACAAGGGTGGAGGGCAGACCTAATAGGTATAGGAAGTAGTGTTATTGAGATGCATGGTGTGAAATTCCCAAATTATCAATACAAATATTAGGTCGGGGAGTTTTTTAAACATTTAAAGTAAAAAGAATGCAGAGCTAGAGTGGATCAAGGCAGCTATGCAGTAAACAACTGGGAGAATCATTCCATCAAGTGTGGAAACCAAAGGGGAAAAGGCAGTCTCTAGCATGTAGCCAACAGCAGTCACCTCCGATCCAAGAAATGCATGCCTCCTGTGAGCACCACATTCCAGCTTCTCTGGAAGACCTCCACTTCCTCCCCAGGCTGGGAGAGATTCCCACAACAGCAAGGCAGCTCCTAAGTGAGGCTGTGTTTTGGAACCTCGCTCAGTCCCTTCTGCTCTCAAAGATGCGTCTGGCAGGCTATACCTAGGGCATCCTTGGCCAGCCCACTCACTCCCAAGGCAATGTGTGACCCTCAAAGGCCCAGTCAGGCCATTTTCAGGAAGCAAATGTTCAACCTGCTGGTTGAACAGCAAGTTCTCACAGGACCAGCCATGCTGGCCCCCAGTGGCTGAGGGGAGAGCCTTGGAAGTTGAGTAAACACATGGTAGAAAACCAACCTTGTCTTCGGGAGGCAGTCGTTTCACTTCTGTATGCTTTTCTGCTAGCCGTTCGGGCAATTATTGACCACTTTAACACACGTTCAAGGGCTGCCAGGAACACAGCAAAACCTAGAGCCAAGAGAGAAACACAGGGCTGTAGTACAACAGTTGCCGGTGAAGAGGGATGTGGGGGAAATGTCATAGCTCTTCCTGCCCAAGCTGCAGGAGCTGTGGAGCCTCACCACCCCAGGGGAGGAACTCAGGATAGAGAAAATCTAGGAATTACTGGGCAGCAAAGAAAAAATGTCACCACGCTGTATAGATGGACAATAAAAAGGAACAGAGTGCAGGAGGCAGGATGCGGGAAGCTGACTTGAGTGATCACTGGCAGAGGACAGTAGTCACAGTCTGCTGTTACCACCCACGGATGTTCCTCCCGGGAGAGCTTTGATGCATAAGACATGTACAGAGCCCTCGTTCATAAACAGACTTGGCACTGCAGCACTGCTCTGCTAAGCCCTGTGCAGATTTGCATAGTGATTTACTAAATATGAAAATAAAGCTGTTCCTTTAAGATCCCTGACTTTTCCATTGTACATTCATATGGATATTTAGTTAAACCTACCAGATTGTCAGTGCTAGCAGTGGACAGCACCCACTCTTACTTTACAAATTCTACTCAGAACTGAAATGCAGATTCCCATCAAGAATTTGAGAATAAAATTCTCTATCAGAATACGAACCACATAGGTGAAAGCAGTGCTCATTACCACAGAGAAGACAAAAGGCCATTGGGAGTCAACAAAGGGAGTCAGGCTCCCCAAGACAGCTCAGAACTAGACTCTTAGGACTCTGGTACAATGAGGAAGGCTTATCATAGACTATCACTGCCTGTGAATTGTCTGTGTGATGGGAAAGTTGAGTCACGCACTGTCCAAGGTGACAGCACCTGGTCACCCTCAACTGTTGAACACTCGAAACCTGCCTAGTACAATCGAGGAACTGTGCTGTTGACGCTGCCAAGATTTCAGTTGATCCAATTTGAGTGGCCACTTGTGGCTAGAGTTGTGCTTTCTCCACTTAGCTGTGTTTTATTCTTGGGTTCACCAGTGCCTCTTCGGCTTAAGCTGCTTGGAGTGTTTGGCTGTCCTCCATCCCCTGTGGCAGGGGCTTTGGAATGCAGGGTTGATGGAATAGTTGTCACTTTGGAGACAGCCAGCCAGAGGGGCCAAACCTCAGCCTGGGAAAATTTGAGAGCGAACATGTGGGTGCATGAAGGCCAAGATAGGTGGGACTCCTGATGTAGAAGGAAAAGAGAAGCTAAAAAGAAATTTCTAGACTTTTGGAATCTGCCCTCATTGGAATGTGTCCTTTGCAGACAGAAAAAAAAAATGTGCTGGCCCTCTGAGGAAATGTGTTGTCCTCACAGCTGAAGAGAGGAAAGGGAGAAAGGAAGAGAGAATGACAATTAGAAAAGCTAGGCCAGGCCTTCCCAACCCTGACAGAATGGGTCAAAAAAGCTGTTCTCTCCCATGGCTTTCTACTCTGAAAGACATGACCCCCTAGCTTCAAGATGGTGCTTCTACAAATATGCATGGTGAGCTTTTGATTAAGTATCAAAACAAAGCAGCGGAACTGCCAGAAAAACTTATCCAGCCTGCGGCAAAGTCCAGGGTTCTTGGGCCTATATACATGGAGACGGGGAAACATTCCTGTTATGCAATAAATAATGAGAGGGCATACAGACCGGGGCCTGGGAAAGGAAAATAACACACGGCAGTAAAGCAAGGGCTCTCAGACCAGTCCCTATCTTGTGATAGCTTCAGGGTCATCCATAGGAGTCTAATCTGTGTTCTATTTGAGAGTGCAGAGCTAGTAGCCTCATAGGTGGAGGTGGAGAAGCATGGAACCCATAGCTGTGGGGACAAGGACAGAGGGAGACACGGGTATTACTTATTCCCTCAGAAACATACTGATTACTCAACATGGCTTCAAGAAGCACCCCAATCCTCATCCTCCATATTTCAACCAGTCTCACACTTCTTGGGCGCAGTTGTGTCTCTTGCTTAAATAGATAAATATTTCATTTCTAAACAGCTTCCTAACCTTCGTGAGTGACTGAGCTCTCTTTCTAAGTCAGGGCGGGAAAGGAGAACATAATGACACTGGCTGTGCAGCTGAGAAGAGAGAAAACTGTTGGAATCAGACCTTCACTGTGAGGATTAAGCAGCCCCAGAGGTAGGGAACAACCTACACAAGGCCACCCCTACTTGTGACAGCAGCTGTTGTTTGTATGGCTCCCAAAGCTGCTCTTCGCTTCAGTAATTCACTAAAAGACCCAAAGACCTCACTGCAAGCTGCTACACTCATGACTGTGGCTCATTAGCAAAGAAACATAAAAATCAGCCAGAAGATGCTCATTGGGTAGGATGTGAGGAGGTAGCGAACATGATCCTCTGTGGACCTCTCCCTGTGGAGTCACAATGCACTATTTTCCAGGCATCTGTGTACGACAATATGCATAGAACTGCCAGCCAGGGAAGCTCAACTGAGTCGCGAATGCAGAGAGTTTTTTATTGGGGCTCTGTCACATGGTTAGGGTTAATCGATTGGTGGGTTGTTTATGTGGCTGGTTTCAGTCTCCAGATGAGGAGATAGCTCATGACTCAAAGCCTCCACTCTAAACCACGTGGTTGGTCCTTGTGGTACTGATGAAGACATGGCTCAGCACTACTGTCGGTCATCATTGTTAGACGATCCTGGGTAGCCCAAGGCCCTGGGGCAAATGAGCTGCTTCTTCTAGGAAGAACAGTTCTAGGAGCTTAAGAGTAGACTCCAGACATCATGGACCTCATTTGGAGCAAGTCTATTTGTTTTTAACTGTAAGCACACATATACATTCAATGTAGTTTAAAGACATAAATGTAAAACACGTTTACAATATAAATGAAAGTTTTTCACCCTATGATGCAGAAATTTAATATAAACATATTGTTAAGGATATGATTAAATATCATACTGATTACTTTAACTAATTAATATATCAATATGGTTAAAAAAGGAAAAGATTAAATACATCAATACAAGAAACGCTTTAACTTACAGGACACTACTAACAAAATGAAAAAGAAATAAAAATTACAAAATATACACACATGATGCTTATGTCAAAAGAAAAGGCAATACATTGGAAAGCTGAATGTACTCCACAAGGAAATTAGCAGAAGAAGTAAATTATACACTGTGGATGAGCATGCAAATTAGCAGAAATTTTGCGAGACAGTTTACTTAAAATCATTAAAATGTAATGTTTAAAATGGCATTCTACTGCTAGAAATGTGGTTCATAGAAATGTGTATCATCTCAGAAGTGAGTGTGTGGTGCAGCACTGTTTGCAATGAAGTCAGGAAGCAGCACTGTCAATTTCCAGGCACGTAGACTAGCATTTTGGGATGTAGTCTAGACAATGAGAGAGCCCTCGACTGGTATGAGCAGGAATCATAAAGCAGTCACCAAATGAGGAAATTACAAAGGAATATCCATAGCTTCATGTATATTTATATATAATATGTAAACATATCATCCATGTACTGTAACAATGAGTATACACACATATTATATGTATACACACATTTGCATATCCACATATATGTACAAGAGAAAAACTTTAAGGGTGTTACCCCATAGTGGGTGGGATGAAATCGTCCCCCATATGCTCAGATGTTTGAGTACTTGACTTCCAGTTGGTGGTGCTGTCTGTATAGGGTTAGGAGTTGTGGGCTTGGTTACAGGAAGTATGTCACTGGGGGTGGACTTTGAAAATGTGAAGACTCATACCATTTCCAGTTCTCTCTCTCTGCTTCCTGCTTGTGTACAAGATGCAAACTCTCAACTTTTGCTCCAGCTGCCATGCCTGCTACCTGCTATCTTCATTCAATCATCCTGGGCTCCAACACTCCGGAAACTTAAGTCCAAATAAACTCTTTCTTCTATAAATTGCCATGGTCATAGTGTGTTACCACTGCACCAGAAAAATAGCTAATACATACTCTAAATGGACAAGTAACTATTAATCCTCCTGTTGCATTTTATTTTTCATTTTTGTGGCTCTGAGGTTGAACCCGAGGCCTTGAACATATTAAAACTTTCTGTCACCAAGCTACACCCCTAGCCCTTTCCCACCTTACTTCATATCCTGTGGATTTATTAGAATTTGTTTTGGGTAGCAAATATGTATGTTGTAGCTCCAAATGACACTGTAACGATAAGCGACACACACTTACTGAAAGTAAAACTAAGTATTTATTGTAGAAATTACTCACAAGATACCAAACAAGTAACCCAGATGAGCCAAGTAGTTTTCAGCTGCCGAACCGGAAGCCGAACTCCGGGAAAGAGACTGAGACTTCCTGTGTGCTGTCTTTTATGCCTTCCCCCCGTAACGCCCCCTCGCCATGCCCAAAAGTGGGCCTGGCTAGTGACGTAGTTCACCGCCTAGGTACGTATACGTCTTTACGTCCGGCCGTATACGTCTTTAGTCATGCCTAAAGTGGGTGTGGTTAGCGGTGTGGTAAACCGCCCTTTTATTACCTCATCTGTATGTGCCTCTAGTAAGTCACATGTTTAATGGCGGCATACAGACTTCCTCCTACAGTATGTGAATTTAAATGCACAACAAGCCACACACACCCCTACTTGTTCTTTTTTTTTTGTAATCTTTTTTTTTATTAATATTTTTTTTATTTTCCATTTTAAATTTAGATAAGAAACAAGGTTGCTTCACAAGTCAGTACGAGGTCCCTCTCCCTTTCCCTCCCCTCCTCCCGTGCCCTCCCCCCCATCCCCCCCCCCCGTTATCCCCTCATTCCCCCAGGGAGGGTGAGGCCCTCCATGGGGGTGTCCATAGTCTGTCATTTCATATAGGGCAGGGCCTAGACCCTTCCCCAAGAGTTCAGGGTGAGAGTGCACCTCACATTGTTCTATGGGAGTCCAGAGACCGTGTGTATACTTGGGATGGGTACTGATCTGCTGTCCAAGGCTCAATAGATTACCTAGGCCTCCTCACTGACACCCAGATTCAGGGGGTCTTGATCAGTCCCATGCTGGATTCCCAGGCTGATGCCTGGGAT